TAAATGAAAGACCCTTGAAATTGATTCCGCTTTGGATATTTCGTTGCCTTACAACAATTTCTTGTAAATTGATTCAAGCACCACGGGTGCGTCTTGTCAAATCTTTTCTTTGCCGTATAATCTCGGCGTATGCGTCCCAATCCAAGGAAGGGGCAAGTGAGTTCAACCAGCGCTAAAAGCAATCTTTCGATGAGGAGATGGCCATATATATTATGCACAAATTTCTCTGTGTAAAATTGAGATGTGTGCCTTAATATAAATTATTCGTTGAATGGTATCCTTTTTCATATAAATCGTACTATATGATGTTGTTAGTTGCCTACAAAATTTTCCGAACACAACAACCAGGAGAATTTTATATGCAGCTAAACAATAGTATTATAATATAGGGAGAAAATAACAAAAATATTTCAAGGAAATACTTAACAGGGGGAGCTACGAAATTGCTGTCGTGCAACGATTAAAGCTATTAAACTAATGCCCTTTTTTTTATAAAAAAAAAATTTTGGTTGCTGTTGCTGTATTGAAAAAAAAAAACTCCTAGGATTTGATGAGGCGAGCACAAATACTAATCGGTGGAGAATGCAAGAAAAGCATTCCTTTCAAGGAGAATGATCGATCCTTTGTAAATTGGAGTTACACGCGTCGGTTTTAGAAGCAATTCTTAAAGGAAGTGCTTGTTACCGTATACCCAAACTCTCATATAAGCAAAGAGAGCTCTTATCGTTTAGGGACCTTAAATCTTTGTCTCTTTTTCTCGAATATTCTCAAATACTTATTTCGCAAGTGCTGTACACCTGCTCAAATGCGTAGAGTAATAATTGCATTTTATCAATATTGAAATTTGAATCTTCTTTACTCCATAAAAAGAAAAAAGAAAAAAAAGAAAAAAGAGAGAGAGGTCAAATCTCGAGATTCTTTTATCTTTCTACATATACAATTTCTTCGGACGGCGTAGTTTCACCAATAAATTCTATCCATGTTAAATGCTCAAATATTTCAAAATAAATGATTTTGTTAATTCCGTAATATCAAACCGAGACACTCTTGGCGCGAGCTTTTTAGCTTGTTCAGCAAGGAATCCATCCCCGCGCTTCAGATTCTCCTCCTCTCCCTCTCCCTCTCCGAGGCGACGATCTTCTTCCTCCGACTTCCTTCAAATCGGCCTAGGGCTTCGTAGCAATTGCACCGGCCTCTTCTCGATTCGGCCGCGAACGGGTAGCTGCTCCGATCTAGTTCGTCTCCGACATGGCGCCTGGAAAGAAGAGGTCCGGCGCCGGCACTTCTCGCGAGGAGGCTCCCGTCAAGGTCCGCGCCAAGGGCCCCAGGAAGAAGGAAGAGATGAAGGACGAGGACATGGTGAGTGCGCTTTTGGCGCTTCATTTCGTTTTCCTTCTTCGTGTTCGATTTGAGTGTGTCGTTGAATGCGGGATGTTGCGGCTGGGTGAGTGCCCTTTGTGTTGCTTCGGTTGCTGTTGAAGTTGGTGATTTGATGAATTGAGAGTCGGAGTGAGGATTCGGATTCAGAGTCGGTAGTCGGGTGCGGTCTTTTGTGGTTTGGACTTTTGGCGTGTCGTGGCAATGGTACCGGTTAGTTGCTGAGGTGATTATGGAGGAGCTGGAGTGCGTTGATGAATTCCTTTTCGTTAAGTTCTGTTTGTGAACGTATTTGCAGTCAGAAGAAGATTTGGCACTGAAGCAGCAGTTGGAGCTGTATGTGGAAAGGGTTCAGCATCCTGATCCTGGGTTACGGAAGGTTGCTCTAAAGAGCATGAGGTACTTCTGGTCCTGGAGATATTTTTTTGCTTCCATTTCTTCTCCTACTCAGCTATTAACTTATGGGAAACGAGCAAATCTACATTTAGCTTGTCCTTTGCTGGTTATTCCATCTGCTTGGGAAGGGAGGGGGGGGGACTGGTGTTCTCATTGTTGCAGGTCTGATATGAGTATGATATGGCAATTAGGCGAATAATCTGGCATGCAGCTAGAAGAAGAGTCGGATAGACAGTTCCAGGAAAAAATTTTCGGTATAAACCAACTCTGTAACTATAGGGAGAAGACTAGAGAATGGGCGTGGGGTGTTTAATGGGGAGAACTCGGTCTTATTTCTTTTAGACTAAAGAAATCTTTACGGCATGCATTTTTACTGTGAACTTAGATGTTAGAAACTATTCGAGCATTACGTGGATCAAATCAGAAGGGGCTGCTAGAAATGAGATGGTCCTTAATTGACACTGGTTGTGGTTTGAACCTAATAATGAAAAAGATGTCTCACGAAAAGAGGGGCTGTCTACGTTTATCTTTCCAATGTGGTCTGACGACACCGATAATCGTCTTTGTAGACGAGAAATTCGTGCTTCAACAAGTTCAATGACTTCAGTTCCGAAGCCCCTGAAGTTTCTCCGAACTCATTATGGAACTCTTAAGGCGTATTATGAAACAATGAAGGATTCATATTTGAAGGTGAAGTATGGATTGGCACGGTATTGTTTGCTAGGATACTTTATCTTAATCGCAGTCAATGATCTGGTTTACATTGATGAAGAGATACCTAGCGGACATACTCTCTGTTTTGGCCTCGACAACGTCTGCTGAAGGGGAACGGGTAATTCTTCTTGTGACTCAAAATCGTATTTTGCTGGCCATTATTTCCATGACTTGCCTGTAGGATGACAACTTATGGAAACTCCGATCTTCTATATCCCCGTTGCCATTGTTCTAAACAAGAATTCGTCAATAGTCAGTATCGGTATCTTTTGAAATCATGCCTCCTGACGTATGATCATTTCACTGAATAGCCTGCATTTATTTTAGGTGTAGACGTCTTCCGTGACCTTGCCAAGTTCACTTCTCCAACTCCCTTGTAGATTTGATGTTGATTTCTTTCTTTTGTGAATGGTGTAATTGTTTCCAGGAGAGTCTGAAGTACAGGTTGTTAGGTTCAGAAGGTGATATTGGCTCTTGGGGCCATGAGTATGTCAGGTAATCCATCTTGACGTTGGGTGTGATATATCTCACGTTCCATTGGTTCCTTTTTCCCTCTCCTTTTAATATGAGGTTAAAAAGACTCTAACTTTTGCTATAAATTCATGGATAATTATAGTGAACTGTTGATTCTTTTGAACGTCATTGAGGATTCTATAATAATTGCATCTGTTGTGTATAATCTCATTATTTCCCACTTGTCTGATGATACTGATATCTCGATAAATTTTATGCTGATAGGGATGTGATGTGGGTTGAGAGTAAAAAATTTAGCTAAATTTTCAGTCTATCTAGACAAAGACGTGGTCCGTAATGGTTGCTGGTGAATGAATTTATTTGCTTGTCATTGTTGATTTGATGTTTTATGTAAGCCACTGGTCAATGTCCCACCTTTTATGTTGTCGTTACCTGGGTTATAATGGTGAAGCTCCGCTATGTTTGTAAAGAGGGACACGTATTTACGGCTGTCCAGAGTTCTCAATTAACATGATCTTTCTGCAATGGCCTCTTCTAGATGCCTAGTTATGTCGATACTTCTTGAATCTGGTACAGCTATGTGCCGTTAGTACGAGGATTTCTCTGCTCTGCATCAGCCCACTATTTAAGTGGCTGTGAATTGAACTGTGGACCAAAAAATGAAGTCAAAGTTTTTTTTCTCACTTGCTGATCCTTTACTCCAACTTTTCATCAACCATGGAGGACGTGTTTCTCTTGAACACATAGGATGGAAAATAGGGGAATCTTGGTTCGTTAGACTATATATACATCCAGAGTCATTGCTTATCTATTGATTATATGTATTACATTTTAATACGTGGGGAAGGATACGGTCATGCTGCCGTCTCTTTGTTCTCTCAATTGTGAAATCCTTGCGGAAGGGTTATTTTGAACGTTATTCATTTTCCGATACTTGGTGCATGATCTCTGTCTTGAGATACTGGTTATTGAGGAATTCTTGTTGTTTTGTGCTTTATCTAGACGTTACATTGCACTTTGTCTTACCTTAAAATTAACATCTGACATCAGGAATTTGGCTGGGGAAATTGCTCAAGAATATAAAAAGCGACAGGTAATGTTGGCAAGTCCATCACTGTTTTCTTCACATCATGTAAGACGGGTTCTTAAACTCTTTCTTGAAGTGCTCTTCCGTTGCCTGCTTATATTTACATTAGTTTCCATTCTGGTGGTACATGATGTGTCACATCTGGCTTTCGCTAATTAATGTACTGTGGCTTAGTTCTATAGTTGTAATTCCATCAGTGATCCCTAACAACAACACCACCTGTATTCAAGATAATTTGTCTATGAAATTGGTGACCCCGGATATTCCTTGTCATGGTGTTTTGACCTATATATATGTTTGACAACGCTTTTTAAACCTCGGCAGAGTGAGGAGGCTCCTATAAATGATCTCATGGAGCTTGTACAGCAAATTGTAGCTTTCCATATGAAGGTATGTATCATTGTCTAATTTTCATGTCGGCAGGAAATGGATTAGGATCATTGTATGCAGAAGACACTTTAACGGATAGATTTGTAACTTCTGATGACGCGTTAGTAAATCATTTTATTTTGTTGCAGCACAATGCTGAACCTGAAGCTGTTGACCTGTTAATGGAGGTAAAGTAAATTATTCATGCCAACCTTTTATTTTGTAGTGAGGCTGTTTTGAAGTGAATCTAAGACTATTAAATGACTTCCAGGTCAAACACCTTGATATGTTAATGGAGCATGTTGACAGCACCAACTTCAAGGGGACATGTGTATACCTCACAAGTGCTGCAAGGTACATGGAATTTTTGTCATCAAAACGGTGCATAACAGTCAGGGTAATTCACTATGGATTGCTCAGAAAATGGTCTAGGAGCTTATTGGTTGAGGACCGACTCATGAGTGTGCCTTTTGTCCCAATCAATTCTTTCTTTTGTATCGGTTGCAGAAACCTTCCTGGACCTGATGTCACGTTAGGTCTGGATACGGCTTACAAGATCTATCTCAATTTTGAAGACTACGCCAATGCCCTTGAGATGGCACTGTCCCTAGATGATAAGCAGGTTATTTGGATATGAATAAGCATCTTTTCCTTTCAAGTTGTGTACAGGAATTTCTTGTGAGGAGTTCCGCATTGCCACATATTGGATCTCTCTCTCTATCTCTCTCTCTCTCTCTCTCTCTCTCTCTCTCTCTCTCTCTGTGGGAATCTAATCTAACCCGTGAAGGTACACATGCAGTATGTGAAGCAGGTCTTCATGTCTTGCGGTAATTTTGCATGGAAGAAACAATTCTTCTATATCCTTGCTCGACATGTGAGTTGTTTCTCAGCTATAATTGAAAGGCATCTTTAATCCTTGCTTCAGATATAGTCGGCGTACATGGCAAGATTGCCTGGGGTGATTTTGATAGTAATTTGCTATTTTTTTGTGCAGGGTAGTATCACCTTTGAGCTTGATCAAGAGATGGTTCCAGATGACGATGAAAGAAAGGCATTGGAGGAACTCGTCGACAATATTAAAGTAAGCGAAGGTTATCTTACTCTTTGCCCACGATATTGAGGTTATGCAGCCCAAATCTCTTGAAGACATTTACAAGGTTTGAACAGTTGATAATTGTTCATGCTTTCTATGACTTGATCTGATCTTGGTTACGAAAACTCATTAACTTGTTTTATCATCAATACTCGAATCAAGCTCTTGGATGCATCATGTTGTATGGCGCTGCAAATGTAATGGGAGCTGTGTGATTGTTTCTTCATTTGCTTAGGAGTAATTGCTGCTTTTTTTTTTAGGGGAGTATGCTTATGTTTTTGCCTTTGATTTACAGGCAGCAAGATCTCTTTTTGTTAAAAATATTAACTTCGAAACCTCTGAGGTGGATTTGAGAAGCCATTTCGGCAAATTCATGGAAGCGAGGAAGATTCTTAATGTCTCGGTAATCTTTTGGTCCACTAGAATTAACGTTGTGATTTGTGATCCACGACTATTGATCAACATATTTTCGTTATGTGCACAGATAAAAACGTACATTTCGATGGGGAGGCAAGTTTCAAGAGGTCAGGGGCAAATAGAATTTGATTCAGTGAGCACAGCCACCAATGTTCGCCAGATTTTAAATGTAAGCCTTTCTTTTTCCCTCTTGATAAATTACCGTTTAGTAATTTCCTCATAGTATATTTGTCTTCTCTCCAGAGAACCATCTTAGATGGACGTGCGCTTATTTTACAACTTTGCCGACCGGTTGAACCAGTGCCGAGTTCAACCACGTTGTTTGTGGGCAACATTGCTCCTTCGGCCACTGAAGAGGATATAAGGAAGATTTTTTGCCCGTTAGGGAAGGTAATCTAGCGTCTTCATCGTGGATTAATTGAAGGTGTGACTGATATTTGTGATTCCATAGGTGAAGAGTGTGACGCTGCCACTGCCGCCTTTGGGAACTAAAAGACGAATCGGATTTGTGGAGTACTCAGCAGAGCAGGAGGCACAGAGTGCTCTGCGAAGGCTGGGGGACACCTATCTGTTTGGATGGCGTTTGGTAAGTCATTTTCAATTACTCCGAAAAATGTCCTACAAAGCTGAGCTATAACTGTGTTCAGGTGATAGAAAAAGCTAGGGAAAAGAAAAACAGAGGTAATCAAACAGTCCGGCGAAGTTAATGAGGAAGACGAGGATCGATTGAACTGCAACAGAATGGCTGCAGGTGGGAGAATTGGTTGAAGATACAGTACCACACATCATTCTTTGGTTGACCTTACACGTGTATTCAGGAATAAGCTTTGCAGGAGTCGGGAGACCAATACTAACATTGCAGCGTAATATAGAGTTTTGATCGCTTAGCAGGATATCTTACTTACCCGTTTGTTTGGAATTCTTGCCGTTGGACTTGTGTTCTACTAAGCACAGCTAAGTTTACGTCGCTGGCTTGTAGTTGGACGTGTGACGTGGCAGTGCACCATGATTGAACATCTGAGTAACATGCTTGCATCATGATTGAATGTCTTAGTAACATGCTTTTTCGTAACAAGGACACACGATTCGCGTTCGGGGTTTTGTCAATTTTCGTTCGTATTCAATGCCTTTTGGACTCTCTTTTTGATTTGCTCAATTGAATACATAAAATTGAATACATAGGTACGCGCACATCTAGATACACAGGTGGAGAGAGATTGGGAGGATGTTGGGCAAATCTATAAAAAAAAGTAGGGAAGCGTTGTTTCTTCATTTGCTTAGGCCTTTGTGCAAATTGAAAAAGAGAGATTTAAGAGGCCTCTTGGCCTTTGGGTTTGCAATAAACCTTTTTAAAATCATTTAATTTTAGTAGGTTCAATGATATAAGTCTAGTTACGTCTCATTGAATTCGCTCGTTTATCATATCGCCTGTTTTTTTTAATTGTGTGGGACAGCGGGCCCAATACGACGCGACCTTTTCACCATGACTCGGCCCTATTAGGTCCAACCCGGTACGGGTTGAGTGTTTCGCTCATTTTAATTAGCTGTTAATATATTTTGATTACTTTTGGGGCTTGCATGCATTGGCTTAAAGCTCAAGATCACGAGCATCATTGCTTTTTGTAATGTAAACAGTAAGCTGGTTAATCATCACAGATTAGCCTTCATATATGTCCTATTATCATTATTAGCAACGGATATGGTGCTTGCCTGCGGGGAGTGGCTAAATCCAGGGAAAAAGAACTTGTCCATAGATTTGACTCATCCGCTCCTCCTGATACAATTGGCTTTTTCATAGCCGAGTTTATTTTCAACAAGGAAACCTGAAGCTGGAGCCAGCTGCAACTCGTGAACTTCGATTAATGCAGACTAAACGAAGAATCGCTCGAGTCTCGCATCGTTTCTCTGTGGCTTGTGCAACATCCATTCTTGACGCAAGAAAATATTCGATATGGAGGAAGAGCCGTGGGAACGAGGCAATTAGCCTGATGTCCACCCTACACCCTAAACCGCGAAGGAACTACTTAATTGATTATGCTAAAGTATTGGAGCTAGGATATATCACGAGGAGAGGTTACCGGTGTTTTGGAAGGAGAGGAAAAGAAATTCAAGAAAAGTATTACTTGCTCGTGTTAAATTAAATTGCTTTTAGATGGTTTTGCAAATTTGCTTGGGTGTTTGGTTCTTGTTGATTTGATTGGATGGATGAGATCCGTTCTTTGCCACCGTTTGATTGTTAAGCCGCACACTTCCCACTCTGGATTGCCTTGTTGAAAGCTCGAAGAGGTTCAGTGAAATTTAGTACTTAGACTGCCCGTATCCACGGTTTGTTGGTAACACAAATGGTTAATTCTCTGAATATATGTGCTGCTGCATACAGGCACAAGACAACAATGAAATGGGTTAAAAAAAAAATAAAAGTCAAATAACTGGATTCACAACACTTAGGCTAAGCCAGGTATTTTGCTAGAACTAACAAAGTCGACGACTAGTTGTTCGACATCATGGAAAAAGGGGAAAAAAGAACTTATGGCATGAATTCAAGTCCCACGACAACAATCCTAGAATCCTATTACCTGTCTTGTTCCGCCAGAGACCCCGTTGGTTGTATTTCTAACCGTCGAACCCATTTCCTCGGGCATTTCTATCGTAAAACCCGCAATTACCATCTCCAGTGAAACTCCATGGTCCCCACCATCTCATCTCAATACCCATTTTCACATCTTCACTTGGTGGCATGATGTACTCAACCCAATCCGGGTCTTGGACTAGGAATCGTTCCTGCTCGGAGTTCAGGGCTTCCAAAACGGGGCTAGGATGGTGAACCTCAAGTGGCTGCACAACATACTCTCCACAACATACTAAGAAACTCCTTAGTGGGTCTACAGGAGGAGGTAGACATCACATTTATGTCATTTTCCTTGACTCGTCTTCCCTTCAGCGATGGTTTAATTTACAATTGTTTTCGCTACAACATATTCATGATTCGAGATTATGATTATCCTCTCGAAAAGAATGTTCATCGTGGTGGACGATTCTCCCCATTATGAGCCACAAAGATCTTCTAAATCAGGAAGGCATACTGCTTCAAGCAGTAGGCCAATCGCACGAAGTTCAGACAAGTTCTCTTCACGCTCAAATGATGGAAGGCATACGTCTTGTGGAGGAAAAACAGGGATGAGCACCAGTTTAGAATCGGGAAGAACTTCGAATTTGCGAGAATCATCTTCCCCTTCTGCAGAGGCTGTCAACGGGGATGATGTCACTTCACCAACCTGATACAAACGGCGGTAATCACATATCTTCTGAAATGGATGGCGTCCAGATTTCTTCGTCGCTTGCATGCTTGAGTCGCAGATTTCTTCATCGCTTGCATGCTTGGGTGAGGACTCCGACCTTAATTATGATTTAGGTGGAAAAATTAATGGGTTGAGCACGGCAGCTCCCCTGCAGGTAATTTGGTAATTTACATTTCTTCAATTGGATAGTTCTATGTATGTCAATCTGGATGCCACTAGGTTTAATCTATGGTTATTAATGCAGGAGGATTTCTTTGCTTCTGTGGTAACTTAATTGTCCCATTAATTTTGTTTTGAGCCCCTTCTAGAAGCTTTTTGGTCCTTAGTCAATGTCCGTATCTTTCCCCTCGTAGAAAGAGGAGTGGAAGGCGACTGAGAATTAATGTTTAATGATGCTATAGGAGATAGATTGAAGCGAGAATGGCGGTGTGAAGATAAAGTCTTATGAACCTTCCATTTATGATGATAGCAGAGCAGAGTCATATATGAACAATCAAGTTTGACATAGTTTGTGCGCTTCTGACATGACAAGATGTAAAAGCATGACAAAAGTAGGCATGGTGTCCTAGCAACTTCAGGCGTGGTGTCCTAGGAAAGAGTTGCCCCGGCTGAATGGATCGGGAGGGAAGAACTAAAGTTCAATGGAGAGTTTTGATGAGAAAGTACGGAAAGCTGCTCGAGAACTTGTGATGCTGGCAACCGCTTCTCGGAGAACCATATAATGAAGAAACTTAATAAGGACGGTATATGCCATGTGGGTCCTTGTGAAAATATTCTTGTCACGGTTCACGGATAATGCTTATTGACATGCCCAATCTTTCTGTGTTTACAGTTGAACCAAAGACACGGAGGGAATGGAGCTCAAGATGACCATCCATCCCAGCTTACATACCTATGTGTCATTGATGATATACATTGTTATGTAAATTGTAAATAGACTAGTGCCTCATTGGGTCTTTGAACCACAGTCAAAGCTGTACGACAACCGACAGGTTTAAAACTCATGCGGGACCCTAAAATTGCCAATTAAAAGTTTTCCTGATAAATTTATGTTGCTTCAATTAGTTTTGAAGTTTCTTTCATACTAGCGTATTTAAGGGGTTTGTTTTTCTTGCAGGTAGTAGATATAGGAACATTTAAGAGAAGAGAATCGTCAATTAAGGGAAAGGTGATTATGATGTGCTTTACTATGATGCAATGTGCTTGGTTCTTCTCTTGTTTGATTAATTCTCTGCATAAAATTGATCTCCTTGTTGTTTACAGATTGGCACAGCGGGACGAAGAAATTTCGAGGAAGTTGCAGTGTGATTTGCAAACTAAGGGAGAGAGGTGGAGAACTCTCGAAAATCAAGTGAGTGCTTTGCCATTTCAATTAGGGGTGTGCAAAGGAACCGAGAACCGCCAGGAGCCGGACTGAACCGGCCTAGAACCGGCGGTTCTCATGGGGACCGATTGTCACGCCCCGAACCCCAACGGGCTCGCGACATCCCTCCCACGGTCGTATTGAACGCGACGTCCCAGGACGCGTCGCCGACCCAAACGAAACACCCAACAATAAAGGCAAGCGGAAGCGAAATTAATTAACCCAGACAATAAATAATAACAAAGGGATAGCACGCAACAGTAATTGCATAACAACATAAAGCAGTCACTATTACAAAACAATGACCCAGTCTACCAAATTTAAAGCCACAATTTTCAAAAGGGGGCGGTGGTTGACAAACTTATCTCCTCTACAAAAGGTACTCAAAAGACAGGGTAAATGATCTATCTTTCAATTCCCGTGGAGCTCGCGGCATCTCCGAATCAATCACTGGTCGCGGATCTGAAATGGTTATATAATAACCGTGAGAACGAGTCTCAATAAGCAACCCCCTATACCCCACGTAGGCCAATGCGTACCGCACAAGTCGTACATGCAATCTACCCCATAATATATAAAATTCGCATCATTGTACTTACCTCGTCATCAAGCCCATGCCAACTCTACACGTTAGTCACAACGTGATAATACAATAATAGTAATTAAATAGCACATCACAACCGCTCAAACACCAACCACACTTGCACTCAATCAATCCAACTAATTCAACCAGCCAATTCAATCACACGCTCAACCAACCAATTCAATCACACTCAATTCGCACGCGTAGCCGAACATCTTTCTCACGACCCGCGCCACTGCGCCTCGGTCCATTCTCACCGCCCGCGCCACCTGCGCCTCAGCCCACTTGGCACACCGGCCATTCATGCTTTCACACGGACCGCCGTCAACACGTCCCAAGTCCGTAGCCCTCCGATCAATCCGGGCTCAATTTCCAATGACCGACGTAAATACGTCCCGGTCCAACACACCTCTAACGGGCCACCGTCAACACGTCTCAAGCCCGCATCCATTTGGCACACCGGCCATTCATGCCTTCACACGGACCGCCAACACGTCCCAAGTCCGTAGCCCTCCGATCAATCCGGGCTTATAATCGACAGCATGCACACGCCATTCAATTCAATCAATTTCACGCCAATTACATCAAACGATCCATATTCACAATTCGCCACGTCAATCCACAAACCCGACGTTCAAGTCGGCCATGTGATCACCCAAATCATGCACATTATTTTATCCAATCCAATTAGCACAATTATATCATAATATAATTAAATTAAAACACGCCTAGCCATTCTAAACCCGAGACAAGCCTATAAAATACCCAAAGTACTAGGTAGGGTTTAGAAAGTCACTTACTTCAATTTGGCTCGGGAAAACCCGCACGGGCTCAAAACGGGCCGATGAACAAAGGCCGAATGAACAGAACGGCCCCGAT